CTCATTACAGATGGAAATCTGAATCTTAGATAAAAAAAAACTACATAAATTAATATTAAATTACCTTAATAATTTTTCTATAAGCCTACATTTCGATTATATCTTATTTATTTCTACATTTACAGCTTATTTATTAAATTATAGCCGAACATGCAAGTGGTATGATATCATAAAGATGTAAGTGGATAAAAAAGTTATAAAACTCGCATAGCTAGAAATATTACTAATACTGTTCAAACTGAACCTAAAGTTAACCAGCGATAAAAACTTGATATACCAAATGTACTTTATATAGCTACGAGTATATATAGCCCACGGCATTGCCCACGTGAATATAAAGTTCTCCTGTTTTAATCCATTTAACATATATGATATACTTGTATACGGGGAATGGGTTTGACAGTAATGAGGATTTGATAACCCCATAACTAGGGAGGGAAAGAGATTATTAGTAATGGGATGTAATAACCTCATTGCTAACAATTTACCCTCTCGAGTCGACCTACACACGGTTCCCCCTAGAAACCATGATGTTTAATTTTTTTCGAATTCATCATGGTGGGCAAACTCACCTGCATTCATTTTCACCTATCATCTTCCACTGGTGCCTCGTCGGTGTATACCGATAGCGCAGGCGGGGTTACCATTCTATCTTTACCCATTAAGAAACCCATTAAAAACCATTACTAGCAATATATTCTATCAGGTTGACCGTGTGGAAATTCTCTTAGTTAATCTTTTTAAATTCGTTACAAAGGGACAACTAACCTGTTTCATCCTCACCTTATCCCTCTTAAAACATCTCTAAAGTCTAACTGTGGGTGCCAATCTGCATGCTAAGCGTGAAAACTATTAGCAAAACCCCTCAAGGGGTAGGCTTATGTTCAGCAATAGAAAGTTAAAGGCTGATATCATGAAGTGGGATGTGTATTTCGTCATCATTGGTTTGTTTTTAATCGCTTCTTACACTTGGAAGGTGGCCAGTTACAGACTGACGCCGCGTCGTTACGACTCGGTGACATGGCAGTGCGCTCTTGTCATATCTATCACCTTTTTATTAACCGTGCCTATGCCAAATTGCACTTTTATACTTCCTGTATACTGCTTTTGGCTATCAAACTCGAAGATTATTACATATTACGAAGTGTTTCCATTAATAGTACATTTTTATAGTTGACGCCACATGGAGTTTAGTTTTAGACATTCATTTTTGTCTGTTTGTAGTTCGTTAACTCGGATGGAAAAGGTCAGTTATAAGTAAATAACTTAAGAAAACAATAAATATCTTTATTTATTTAGAGGTACTCATGCAAGCAGTTGTATGAGGGTAAGCTACTACAAATCCTATTAATATGGTAAATATGAAAATTTGTAAGAATAGATGGGTGGATATTTGTTTCTTACATGCAAAAACTACTCAACGGAATTGAATAAAATTTGATACATGGGTAGGTTATATCCTAATTTAGCTTGAAGACTACTTATATAGGTAATATTGATTTACATGAAAAAAAAACTGAGAGAAACAACTAATATAAAGTAAAATATACGTTAGTATATTTAGTTAGTACACACATATACTTACAGTTATGTAAGTATATGTGTGTACGTGTGTATGTATGTATGTATATATATTATATATATATATATATATATATATATATATATATATATATATATATATATATATATATAGCTTGCTATATATGTATGTATGTATATGTGTGTAGGTGTATGTACATAAATATAATAATGAGTAGGGATAATATTTATATTATTATATGTCCCATCTCCCATATTTAGAACTAACAAAATTTTTCATCGTGCCTCCCACCAAATTGTTTATAATTACTCCTCTCCATCCAAAGGTTTCCTGGAAGAGATCGCTCTTAGCGATAAGGTCGCCCATTGTTTTCACATTGTGATTATTTCTTGTAATTATTTATATTTATAATAAGTTTACTGTTGTAATCTTTTGAAGAAAACAATAAAGAGTATCTATCTATCTATCTAACATCGTTTAATATGTTTTAGATTAAAGAGTACAGTGGGTTAAATCTTTTGATTTAATATTTGAATCGTCTAATATAATCACTCATATACACATGAGAAAATATCCAACACATTTTCATCTGTTCAGTTTAATAATTCTTTTAGTCAATTCGTGTCCAAATCACATTATAATTTACATATATAATCTTCACATATTATAATGTCATTTGTACAATAACCTTCAATATTTACAAAAACAACTTTCAACAATGGAATCGTATTGTATTGAAATGTAAAATGTCTAATATTTGACAAGTTTTTAAATCACAAACCAAAATTTTGGTATGTACAATGTATCAATTAAAATATTTTATTATACTAACTCGTTATCTCTCCTGTGATAGAAAACACCAATAATAAACGATAAATGACAGTAGGCTTGCGTCGTACTAAGTTGAATTTTGTTATAGTAATTGTTTGTAAGTCTCTCTCTCTTTCTCTCTCTTTGCGGTGATGGAAAACATCAATAATAAACAAGAGACAACAGTTGGCTTGTGTCATATTAAATTGAATTTTGTTATTGTTTGTAATGTATCAAAATAATGCCTCAGTTATTAGGAAATTATAGTTATAAACATATATATTTTATATTTTTAAAATAATAGCTCACATACGAGTATAATAATATGCAATTAATGTAAACTACGATACTTGACAAACGTTCGCGACATTTCTTTTTAGATCTTTGCATTGGTAAGCCCACGTTGGGCGCCAATAGCCTTTTAAAGCCAGTACTTAAAGGTCACGCTGGGTGCCACTCAATGAATTGTTATCTGCATGACATGCGATATCACTATCGTCACTACGATATCATTCTTCTTTCTTTATTTAATGCACAGACAGTCCAAGAAATACATTTATTATGCTTTATGCATTGCATGAGGAAAAATGTACCTTAAACCATCATACAATTTTCCGTGCCATATAACATTATTAATGATAGGATTTAGTTAAATTCGGGTTAATTGTTTCAGTATTCTTTGATATATCTCTTATATCTGACTACGGTTATCCCTTTTCATCAAAAACAGACTCAATCATGACTAGAATGTAAAGCAAGTGCTGCTTTTCATTCTAGTCATGATGCTCTGCCACACTCAAATAATAGGGGAAGGGTCAAAGGATGAGATTATATGGTATAGTGAAAGGAATGATCTCTACAACTATTGAATTAATAAAATTTCTGTAATTAAATATTTAATTGTTACCATCGTTAGTCCTACTCTTTTTTAATTATTTTTATCGGCTTTACTCATATTTACACTATTCATACTATAAAAAAGAACATTCAAAACAAAATAATGTTTATATTTAACTATTTTTTGGAATATTTATTTTCAAATGTCTATTCCAATTTTCTATTTCGAAGCGTGTTCGTTTCTACCTAGGATAATAATAATGCATTGAAAATTACATTAGTCATGCCATCTATATTATTCTGAAAACAATTTGTTACGAGTCTAATATAAGTGCAGGTGCAGCAGTCAATTAAGGAGGCTTGTCGTCACATGTGCAATTAGTGAGCTCGTATCATTCTGTTTTCTCTTTTACTCATATCTAAGAAAAGGGAGATATACAGCTATCGGTGACAAAGAGCTCGTGTGAGTCTCATTGGACGAATGCCAAAGCCAGATTGGGAGAGTACTGAAAAAACATAAGTGCTTAAAACGTGGGTGGATAACCGGACAACTTGCGGACAACTAGATATCCTACTCTTGTTATAAATTTCAGAGATTGTAAATATGTTTGGACATAGAACGTCAAATTATATTACACAGTTTCAAGATTTGCATACATATTTATTGTTCACACGCTGAGAACACATGGACCCCATTCTGGATTATTAAATGGGATACTTTTTATCATACCTCACGCGAGCAAAGCCACGTATTAAAGCTAGCGCTAGATATATTCAAAATGTATAAAAATTTGCTTATTTTTCATTCGTTTTATTGACAACTACATTTGGCAGGGATCTACTGTTTACTTAGATACTAGTCATTATTTTGCAAAACTTTGGCGCCGTGTCTGAAAATGGTGTTTTATGGCTTTCTTTTAACATTTTGATTTTCTAAGTGATTATTTGCTAAGTGCTGAATATCAAAATTAAGAGGCGTAAAAAGAAATAAATCAAGACAGAAAATTTATTTTATCTTTTGTTAGGTAGATACTTTAATAGAATGATAAAAATATATGAGACGTAACGTAGAATTTATTCTAACCACTATCATCACTATTTAATAGTTAAATAAAGTAAATTAGATTGAGAATGAAATCTAAAAATATCTAACTGCTTATAAAAATTTCAAGTATATAATTATTGTGATACAAATAAATAAATCAGTAAAATAAATAACTGAGTATTTACTTTTACCAATATTGTCAGATATCTGAGCATAGTTAGTAATAAATTTAACTTATTCAATAACAAAAGTTATCTATCTAATCCATTTTCCATATTTCACTTTACAGTTATAGTTTTTATCTATTGATTATGGACAAAACGTGCCTGATGAAAAATTCACGAGATTGAAAGTTTAATTAATTTATGTACTTATATCATTGGAAATCTCGGTCTTGGCTTCCTTCTTTTTTGCTCAGACAACCGTATCGAACTTTTAAAAGCTTTTTAATGAATATTATCGTGATTCTGTTTGAATGGACGGCACGGTTCCATTATGAAATAGGGTTTGGTTTACCTACACCTACCTATTATAATGGCGTCGATCTTATATCTATGTTTAAATTACAACGGTTTATTGATATAACTGGACAATGGGAATTTAAAAAGCGTATTGTGCTTGACGTTTCCAAAAATATTATTCCAGTGTTAAAACTATGTTTTTTTTTATTATTGTTAATTATAAAACACAACTAAGCTCTATTATTTTTTGCACAAGCGACTATTAATCCTCCTTACCATTCCGGACTTCCTCACTCAAGACTAGAGATGGGCAATCCACCTGGGTGGGTTTAAAGTCTGGTGGGTAAAAACCGGGTGTTTTGGGTTTATTGGGTTTAAACCCCATAAACACCCAAATTTTTGGGTGTTTATGATTTTGTACTTCATCATCGTCATCTCAGCCGCAAGACGTCCACTATACTGGACATAGACAATATTATTATGCAGCCTACAGAATAAAAAACTTTTAATTTGATTTTGAGTTTATTAAGAAAGAGATGAAAGTAAAATGTAAAACTACAGTCAATCACTGTCAGATTCAGAGTTATTACAAGCGATGAATTGTATAGGTTCGATAGGCTCTATTTCGTCTAAACTGTTATGTTCATTTACTTGCTCAATGAAAGCTTCTAAGGTATTTTCTTCATTAAACTGAAGGTCCTCGCATTCAGCTTTATGTTTAAGATTCCAGTTATAACAAATGAATGAAATTTTTTCAGTTCTTTCAGTTGTAAGTCGATTTCTTTTGTTATTATGTATGTAGCCTTGGATACTAAAGGAACGCTCAGTGGCTGCCGAAGTACAGGGAGCTGATAGAATACGAATCGCTACTTTGCTTAACTCAGTGGAACCACAAATACCTTTCCACCATATTAGGGGCTCAATGCTATCTAATGAGCTCCATACAAATCCTCTGGCCCAAAAGTTTTCTTTAGCTTTATAACACGCCAAATCTGCCATTACATTTGACAAACTTAAGTGTTGGCTTAAATTGTAGATAAACTCCATACCCTTAAGTTCTTCCTCTTGAGTAAGTTCGACTCCTAGAGTCCTGGGGTCTAGAATATATGCTGCAAAATGTATTGGCCTCATTGCCATATTGCATCTTGAAGATACTGATGTTAGAATCTGCTGTTTGCTTTCTTCGCTCAATGTCGAAATCTCATTTAATGCAAAACGTATCTTAGCTTGTACATCTCTAAATGTAATGTATGTGCGATGCAAACGATTCTGGTCGCTCTCTAAGTAAAATATGCTTTCAGTGACTGGTTCCAAAATACTTATACATTCCCCTGTCTTCGTCCAGAAATCATCACTTAGAATTAAATCTTTAATATCTCTTGAAATTACCACATCTTCTCTAACTGTTAATATTTGCAAAGCTATCTTATTTGCTTTCAAACTTTTTAACGAAGTAACATGACTTCCCCATCTTGTAGCACAAGGCAATTTTAGTGTTTGTGTAGAATCTTCACCCTGCCTTGATTTTATCGACAAGGAACTTAATCGTTGACTCCTTTTAACAGTTTTTATTATATTTATGGCTTGCATAATAAACACAGTTACTTCTTGTATCTTTACAATATCTTGGCACAACAAGTTAAGGATATGTGCACAGCAACCGAGAGGAACAACATGTGGATATTTGAGTTTTGTTAATTCGAATGCCTTTTGTATATTTCTAGCGTTATCGCCAATAAGTACAAGAAACTTATTTGCTCCATACACTTTCATTACTTTTTCAACTTCTTGGCTAAGGTATTCACTAGTGTGAGAATTACTTTCTGTATTCAAACTTTTAACGTATGCAGGTTGAGGTTTTGATATAAGAAAGTTTATTATTCCTTCATTTCTTAAATTAGACCAGCCATCGCACTGAAGGTGTAAGTAACTACAAGCATTTAGTTCCTCATTTAACTCAAAACGCATTTCTCTATATATTTTATCTAAGTATTTTGTCGCTAAAGCTTTACGTGAAGGTATTTTAAATTTTGGTTGCAATTTTTCGAAAAATTGTATCCATAAAGGATGTTGCACTATCGATAATGGCGTCCCTGTTACAAATATAGCTCTCGCTAATTCTGTTTTTATATGATCATCGGTGTCTTGAAACTCAGCATTTATTGTAGTGTTAGCAGACGACGAGGGGCTTATAAAAGAATCATTTGTCTCTATCTCTGACAGTCCAGACATTTTGGTTTTGGACGAGCTATCTTTTATAAGTTTCATAGAGTCTTTTAATGTTTCTGGAGATTTTGGACAAGTGATAAGATGTTGAAGCATTTTGGCAGCATTACTGAATTTGTAGACCTTATTACAAAGCTTGCAAGAAACAGACTTGTTTGGTAAAGTACGGTAGTGCTCCCATATGCGTAAATCTTTAGGTCTCCCCATTGAACCTAAAAAAATGAACGATGATTAGTTGGTCTGACGAAAATTCAACAATAGAGTGCCTATTTTTTTACAATGATTATTTCTTGTTATTTACAATAAATTTATTAAAAAAATAATAAAATAAATACAAAAAACCTTTGTAAAATTACATCTCCTCGGAGGATTAAACGCAGACGCTAGTTTATTATCGTATTGTTCTGTATTTTTCTCAGCAACTTCTTTAATTCGATTAGGTACTTACGCATATTATGTTAAAAATAAATATCTAGTACACATCTTAGGCTATCCACCATTATTATCCAATGACGACTCTCAGCTAACTATGCACTATCATCCAAAATAAACGTGTATGGAAAATTTTATCCCAGTCGGTTGAGGATTGAGGATAATTGCATCAACATACGAACATACCTACATACTTTTATTTACATAACGCAAGCTAAATAAAAGCTTGTAATAATACATCTAATTTTAAGTTAAAATTGTTAAGTGATCATGATATAATTGTATCATTCAAAAATCCACTTACCTTTAATTATTTCTTGTTAAGTATAAATATTATTTCAAATCTGCTCCCTTAATATGCACTTTTTTACTGCTTTTCCTACCTAACACGTTACCAGGAAGTCACGTTACCAGAGTCAGAGTAATAGTGAACACGTTTGACAGTGATTGTCGTCGCCTCATATTCAGCGTCGACGAATAGGGGAATCCCCAGTCATAATGTATTGCATGCGTGGCGGTCTTACTTCAAATCCATAAACAAAGAGATAATTACAGAACTCGATACTAGATGGCGCTGTTTTTGTTTGAAGAAAGTTTGCGGGCTAAAATACATAGAATTTCATCAATGACTTCCACAAAGAACAACATTTCTGTTTTTTCTAAGTCCGTATCTCTTCCGTATATTTCATAAGATATAAGCTTGGGCTACATTGTTATGCAACGTGATTTTGTCGCTGTCTTGCTAGCAGGGTTGACAGATATACGATTTAAATCGTACTCATACTATTATTTGTCTATTTTTTAATGTACGATCGTAAAGATTATGATCGTAATTCGCACAAAAACATACGACTTTTTGGTTACCTGGCAACATTTTTATTATGAAACGAACATGCTCACATCATCAGTCACATGCAACAATTTATTGGGGATTTCCCCTTCACATCTGGCAGTCCTGCTTGCTAGAATATAGGTAAGTCAGCCACAGTTACTGACGATCGATATTTAAAGGGTATTGTTTTTGTGCTAAATATTTCATAAAAACGTTATTTAATACTTTGTGGATTATTAATTTAGTTGATAATCACTGGAAGTAAAATGGATGCTAATTTGAGAGATCAAGATCTTCGTATAAAACAGTTAATAAAAGAAAATCTACGTAAGTACTCTTTTTATACCTAGGTAGGTAAGGTATAATAAACACAAAAGGTACTTAGATCGCGTGTGTTCGAAGCATTTATTCTAATAAATTTAATTTAAAATTGTAGAAAGAAAAAAATGTCTGCCAAGCCGTAGCCGAAGCCGATCTCCAAATATATTTGGCGATAGTGAGACCCAGTGTCCAGATGATATACCCAGCGTCGTCGCAACAAAGAAAAAAAACGAGGATAAAGTAAAAGAAAATTTACTGAAAGAAGAAACAAACTGTTCTAAATGCTTAATTTATGGAGAAGAGGATAAAAGAAATGAGTATTTCGGACTGTTAGTGGCTCAAGAATTTAAATATATACGGCCATGTGTGCGAACGAGGTGTTATGAAGAAATTTTAAAGTATCTACGGGAAGCAAAAGGCCAACATGTTGATCAACTGCAACATGAAAACACTGAAAATTAATTACTTTCATTTTATTATATATAGATTTTTAAAATTTCCTGAAATATTATTAGTTAACGTTTTATTTAATATTGTAGAATTGATCAATACAATTTATAAAAATAATTTATTGGTATTACTTACATATTTTCAAAAAATACGTAAAAACCTATTTTTTTGGGTGATTATGGGAGTTTATGGGTGTTTATTGGGTTTTTACCAAAGCACCGGGTTTAAACCCGGTGCTTTGCCCATCTATACTCAAGACATTTAATTTCGCGCCATTTCGCCCGCGGCCATCTTGTTAAGTCCCTATATTTTGTAAAGTTATAAAATGTTTTTGTATAAGTTTATCCATTAATTTTAGTCTAACATTTGTCTAAGTATGGTGATGTCACATTTTTTTTAGTTTAACCTCTGATCTTTTTAATGGTTCAGCGACAATGATTCATGATTCATATTTGTTGTTACAAATAACTGTAGGTAGTAGGTGTGTAGACATTTAAATAAATCTTTTGTAATATTATAAATGTAATTTTTACAATTATAATATTAGTAGACATGTAATGTCGTTTGTTTTTTTTTATACAACTTAGAATGGCAAACAAGCTGACGGCCCACCTGATGGAAAGTGGTAACCGTCGCCTATAGTAATGAGCAGTACCATGGACATAACAGAGTATACTGTTTCGCCCATGATACCCCCATGCGTTGACATTCCTGAGGACACAGGTGTTATTCCTCTGTACTCAGTAAATTCACGCCACATCCCACCCTTAAATCGAAACACAGCCATGCAAACACAACTGCTTTACGATTGAAACAGGAATGGGACAGAGGTACCCAAGCAATCGACTTTTGTACAAAGTCTCCCTCTGGTATACCATATATGTATATTATAGGTATATATTTAGTATACACGTACTATATGAGATAAAGAAGATTATAGGCAGGTTTTTATCGCGATCAGTGAATATATCCCGGTCACTCGGATGAAGTTGTAGGTAAAAACTAGTATCTGATATTACAATTTAGATTAAAAAATTTCAAATTTAATTTCATCAGTGAGGCCGTTAAAGCGCTATAAGGTAACAAACAAGCTCACTGACATTTATAATATTTTCTGAAATATGTCTGAAATATGTCCTCAATAGGGGACCTCTTGTTAGTGAAATCGTTATTAACCCCAGTTCGCTATGATATGTGTACTTTGTTACAACAAAGCTGTCCATTATCCGGGCAGGTCAGGTCACGGCCAAGGGAATGTCCAAAATGTAACACGCATAGCCGCCTCACCGTTGTATTTTATTGTTGTTTTATATAATTTTCAGCTTTAATGTTTGTTTTACAATAAATCTATTGTTTAACAGATATCTATTAACATATGGTTGAGTCAATCCTTATTAATATTGTAAATGCGAATGTAAGTTTGTTTGTTACCTTATAACACCTTAACGGCTGAACCAATCATTATGAAATTTAGTATACATGTACTATATGGGATGGGAGAGGAAATAGGCTACTTTTTATCCCGGCCAATAAACATATCCCGGTCACACGGATGAAATCGCAATTATTTTTTTCTGTCCATTATATGTCCAATGCTGAACATAGATCTCCCCCATAGACTGTCATAAACAACAGTTTCCCCGTTGCTTATGACAGTCTATGGGGGAGTTACTTATGACAGTTTATCGTTAGAGGGATTTTGCCAGTAGTTGCCGCGCTTAGCAGGCAGGTTGGCAACCGCTTTTGGTCTATTGGTGATGTTTTAGAGGGACGATGCTGCCCATCCCTCGACTATTAAGTTCCCTTAGTCGCCTCCTAAGACACTCACGAGAAAGAAATATTACATTTATTATGGGAGGCTAACTATTTAATTATTTTTCAACACAAGTTTCTTTAGCAGAAATGTTCAGTTTTACTGCCTTAAAAGGATGCCCTAAAATACTGCCTTAAAAGGATGCCAACAATTTTGACTTCACCCTGTATATACGACTGTAGGCGATATTATGGACTGTATATTGATGTATTTGATGTAATTAAACAATGAGTTTTAAGGGAAATAACTATAATAAAGAAAACTACGAAAGACAGACTACGACAGCGAAAAAGAGCAAAGTGACAATTGTGAAAACAAAAAAGTATAAATATAAAATAAAAATAAAAACTTTAAAATAATTAAGGAGTTTGCAACAACGACTAAGTACTCAGACAAATAGTAGTTTTTAGCTATTGTATAAAAGAATATGAGCAGGTAGCTGAAAACTGTTATTACCCCGAGTACTTATATAATGCAGTGATTACTTCCGTCCTGTTTCGTATGGCGTCACTTCTTTACTTAGTAAAAAGTACGTCATTCATAGAAATAGCCGTCATACTGAAGTAATGGCAGAATGCTTCAGATGTTGTGCCATTGTAAACATTAAATGCTAAAATGTGACCTGAATACATTTTTACACAATGAAAATAACATTTCCCAAGTGAATTTCTTGTGACGGACATAATATTTAAATCCAATTAGATACTTAAATGTATTTTATTTGTATGGATATATTTATAATAACTTTCGAAATGTAATACTGAAGGAAAATACTGCAAAGCTTATGGATTCTATTACTATATGTACTAAACTTTCTATATTACAGAAAAATAAATTAATAAAATAGTTTTAAATTAGAAACTTAGTTAAATATTTTCGATAAAAAATATTTTTTTTATACAACATAGAATGGTAAACATGCTGACAGCTCAACTGATGGAAAGTGGCAACCCTCGCCTAGAGACATGAACAGTACCATGAATATAACAAAGCACACAGTTTCGCCTATGATACCCCCATGCGTTGCCATTCCTGAGGACTCAGGTGTTATTCCTCTGTACCCTGTAAATTCACGCCATATCTCACATTTTAAATCGAAACACAGCTATGCAAACACAACTGCTTCACGGTTGAAGTACGAATGGGACAGAGGTACCCAAGCAAACGAATTTGTACAGTCTCCTTCTGGTAAATAATGATATCTGTATATGTAAGTAATATTTAATTAATGTATTCATGTTATATGATCATAATTTACAGTAGCTCTCCACTGTACAAATGTGTATATATATATATATATATATATTATTGATACGTCTGTAACTGTTTATTTACAACAATTTTTAAATTTTATGATTCGAAATTTTTTGACTAAGAGAGAATGTTATACAGCATTAAGCCCACGTTTTGCTTAAAATATTTTTTGTAGTATGGTCAATAAAAAAAAAAAACAATTCTCATTAACGAAGATACCGCAAAATATCAATATTAATAATGTAAACCATATAGGTTCTAAAAAAAGTTGTCAAAATCAGCTTATAAATGGCAAAGAAGTCACCATATATAAAGAGTATAGAAAAATTGCTTCTGATTTAAAGTCGGGTGCTAACTAATAGCCCGGTAGTATGCGGAGAATTCTGTTATAACAGGGGCACAGTCAAGGTCAAAATATAGGTGAGAAAAAGTCCACTCACCTATGACCTTTAACGATAAAATTAATATAAATAAGTAAATTTTTATTATGTTTCGCTAACCATAATTTCTTGGCGACCTTAACGTTTACGAAGGTGAATAAACCAATTCTACGACCAGTTAATTTACGCGCATAATTTGAAATGAAAATAATATATATGTGTGCCAAAGAATATATACTTATAGTTACGAGTATGTAATCTTTCGTTCAATGTATTATTAAATGGTTAATTCTCAAAGTAATTACAGTGTAGATTACTGGTATTGTTTATAGTTTTGACGCCAAAGAAAAATCATATATTCATTTATTTATTACATCAACTGGATGAGCTTTACAGTCCCCCCATACGCTCACCCAGGAAAAAAAATATATATGTATTTTTATACAACTTAGAATGGCAAACAAGCTGACGGTCTACCTGATGGAAAGTGGTAACTGTCGCCAATAGACATAAGCAGTAGCATGGACATAACAGAGTATACTGTTTCGCCCATGATACCCCCCATGCATTGTCATTCCTGAGGACTCAGGTGTTATTCCTCTGTACCCCGTAAATTCAAATCGACTTTTATATAAAAAAGGAATAATACGTATAAACAAAAGAAATAATATTAAAAAGATTTAACCTAACTAGAAATAACATTAGAGCCTAAATCTTTAAACACAAAAACTTTAACATAATTAATAATGATTAATAATAATGTCAAATTTTATTTTTATAGCTATTTCAATAATCCAGTTAATACTAGATATCATCCTCAATCTATGACTGTATTAACACTTTAGAAATAGTACCTGTTGTCCACCACATAAAGTCTACTCAATCATCCACCCGTGTAGGTAGAATGAAAAGGAATTATTAAAGAGTTTTTAAGTTTTAACCTATCTGTTTTTTAGTTAGTTTTTAACAATTTATGTTCAGTTCAACTTTTTATACTTGATTGAGTTACCTACAATCGTACCTACCTACAATACAAATATACAATAAATAATTATATATAAAAAAAATAATTACTAATATTATAAAAGTAAAAATGAGTGTGTTTGTCAACTCTCGATGCCTTTACCACATAACCACTTGAAATTTAGCATACATGTAATATTTGGAATAGCGATATAAGGTACTCATTAATTCAAGCAAAATTTTGCAATCACGCAGACAAAGTCATTGGTAAAAAGTAGTTAACAGATAAAAATATAATTATATGTATACATATGTATACATATGGTTATATGTATTTAAAAAACGAACAGAGTTTCTTGCCTCTAGTCAAATTGTTTATTATTACTTTTCTCCATCCAAGGGTTGCCTGCAGGAGATTGCTCTTAGCAATAAGGCCGCCCATTGTTTTCACAGTATAATATTTTCTTGTAATTGTTTGTATTTATAATAACTTTACAATTGTAATCTTATGGAGGAAACAATAAAGAGTATCTATATATCTATCTATAATTAATATAGGTATTGGTATATTGACTTACTTCTTTATATACTTTTATATGACATAACCAAAGATAGATATAACTAACTTGCTCATGGATACTGAGCGATGAAAGCTAGCAGAAAATAAATTCATATCGTAGCCACTTATGTAAATATCTTTGTTTCTTTCAGACAATAGTCTTACCGGAGACAGTACGACCTTCAATATGTTTACCAAAACAACGACATTATCATTTATTCTAGCTACAAATGGATAATAATCATTACCAGTATCAT